AAACAAAGAAAATAGGACAAAATATCTCTCGTTACTGGAAAACCCAAAAGGTTCCCTCATAGAAACAATTTTGTTTGAAAGGAACACCAACTAGGAGTAACACATTGAATTTTTCTGGCCTTTACTATCAGTGTTTCCAGATTTTTTAAAAACAGAGAAGTAGAAAATAAAACCAGATGGTTGTTTTTGTCATTGATCAATCTGTAGTTACAGAGATCTGCAAACCTGTGCTAAATTATTTGCAATTACCCATGACTCTTTCCAAAATTAAGCTTTTGTTAGCTATATACTCAGTATGGGTATCTACCTAATACAATGCCTCTCAAAGCTATATCAGTGTTTGAAGCAAAATTAACAAGGCAGAAGGAAGTGGTGCACTTGAGACATGAATATTTGTTGTGCTCAAATTCCATGACATCATCAACTGAGGAATAAGTGAGGCTTAGATTCTGAAGGATACAATTTCGTGCTTTTCCTGTGACATACCTATATTTTAAAACCAGGTGTAGCCAGTAATTTTGGGTGAATAGTATTGCTGAAGATGAGAAGGAACAAATGTACTATGCAGAAGGAAAAATATGACTTTTTCCTGAAGTGTCAAGGTGAAGAAGAAAGTTCTGAACAAAGTCAAAGGCTAGCATTTTCAAAGGAATCTTGGGAATGAGAAGTCCAAATCTTATCCAGCTTTAAAGGCACTTCCTTAATCTCTTTTGAAACTCTTCTATGAAATTAATACTTCTCAGAATCAAAGAATGGCCACTATTACAAAATCATAATAGGAATTTCTGTCTTTCAAAGCAGGAACTTCTGAATTGGCAGTCATTTAGAAGCTTCCATCTTGCAATCATCTAACTTATTTTAAATGTATACTTTAAGATGAGTTTTATCACATACTATGGCTATCTTTTTTTCTCCTTGGCCTATAAAGTGGACATAGAATGTCAAAGTCAAATAGCTGTCCCTCCCTGTAGGTATTTATCCTTGATTAAACAAATTCCACTTCTCGTGCCTAGGGCTTAAAAGACATTTGGTGCTATTATATCAAATGTTACTCAAGCACATTAAAAAAATTTTGGGCTTACAAGTATGTTTCTGTGCATGTACATATTACACAAGATTTCTCAAAGTCATGCCTAGGGATTTTTTAAAGTGGGAAAATTATCCATATAGTTATGGTTTTAGGCATGCAAGTTTTTAAATAAAAGTTATATAAATACAAAGGAGAAAATGTTATTACATATTTTCCATACTGAGGTATTTGGAGATACAAACAAATGGCATAAGGTTGATATGCAGGAAGTAATATCACTTCATAATCAAAAAAATTTTATGTAGAAAATTATTGGTAAATGGCTTACAGTATAATCCATTGGCAAACAATATTTGCATTATATGGTTTTGGAAAATTCATAGAGTGGAAAAACCCAGAGGAATCAGTCAACATATATTTTCCATCACAAACTGCAGCTGTAAAGACATAACAAAGAACATTTGTCAAAATGCCATTTGAAAAACAGAATCAGAGCCAAAATTTGGGCGACCTTATCTATAGGTTTACATGGATTACCTTGGAAATGTTTTGTAAGCAACAATGGAAAGACAAAGTAAAACACACTACCAAATTACTTCTATTTCTAATTCCTATGACTGTTTGATCTCAAAGTACCATAAGAGAAGAAAAGCAGTACAGATAATTCACTTTTAAATTAGACAATCGAACTAATCCAGACTACTCCAAACCAATACAAATAATTCAAATCCAGCAGTTGAGATTCAACCAATCCATCTCTTTTTCATTTTATTTCATACATTTGTAAGGGAACAGAATCTTGCCTTAACAGTTCTTATCTACAGCTACTTTAAATTAGGAAACTGTGTTTGCACTACCAGAAGAAAAATGATATCATGTGAATAAAAGCAAGAAGAGATACAGCTGAATATTGCTATCTCTGCTTTTATGATATTTCAAGTTTCTTGCCTTTTATACTACTAAGTACTCAAAAAGATGAGTGGATATCCCAGGTTTCCTGCTAGCTATTGAATTCATTCATCTGAGGTAAATGTCATCTGTCATCATATATTTTTTCAAAAAGCTTTTATTGGTTTTGTCTCCCTTGGCACTACTATTCCATTCTACACATATTCGTCAGTTTAAAAATCAGTTATTTCTTAAAAAATGTATTTTTAAGCCTCAATAAGATTGGAAATGCTAATTCATGTAGAGATTTTAACTCAGCAGACACTGAAGCACTGTTGATGCTTTTGCTGCATCTCTTGAACATTATGTTAGGAATCTCTCTGATGATGACTTTTCTTCAGTATTTCAGAAAGCACCATAGAGTTTTCAAATAAGGATAAAATCAGTACCATACATGATTATCTGGAGAGGTGAGGACAAGTTCATTGATTTGAGGGAGATAATCAGAAATTAGGTAGAGCTTTTCATTAACATAAGAAATGGAATCATACTTATAATGACTATCCAAATTATAAATAATCAATCATATTAAAAATTAAATGGAAATGTTATTGACTATAGTCCTCCTCTGGGAAATGATATATAAAATGATAAATTTAGGCTCCTTGTCTGTTCATTTTATAAGTGTAAAATTCTTTCTGACTACCACTGTAACAAACAAAACATAAATATTACGCTTTTTTTCAGTCAGGCCCAGGTATACACTGTTAATAAAGACTGTGCAGAATGAACTCCACTAACAATGATATGTTTAATGCAGGAGTTGGAATAGAAACATATTCCCTTTTGCAGACTACATGGCCCTTGAAATGAAAACAGAACACACAAGATTTTAAAATACATAGAGAAAAAGGGTCCATGAAAGAGAGAGTTACTATGCTATATATATTTTTATTTATCAGAATAGGTTACCATTTTAGAGCTGGGTATTTATATAGAAGTCTTTTTCTGTCTGTTATAATTCATGTTTCCTGTCCTTATGCTGCTCACTCACCCCATAGCAGTAGCCAGTGCTTAATATCTCAGGAATAAGCAGGAACGTAGCTGGGACTGGTCTTATTTCCCTGAAGAACCTCCTAGTGCTTCCTTGCAGGGAGGAGGCAGCTATGGTCAAAGATGTCATTACATTTCTGCCTCCTCCTGAAGCCCTCAGAAAAGCCTCAGTTGTTCTAATGAGTCCGGAGACATCTTCTGTAGGAACCACACTCACTGCTTCCCCAACATTCATCTAGCTGTCCATTTCTATTTACTTATGTTGCATACAGAGCACATTAGGAGGGCTTAATTGTGTTATCCTTAAATTGCAGGGAGAAGCTCCCTAAACTGGTCAGATCAAACCCACAGATTTCACTTGACAGGACGCTCCTCTGCCAAGGGCAGTACATTACTTCCTGACTTACATATAATTAATCTCTCTCAGTACTGTAGTGATGCTGTGAGGTAGGTAATCACAAAATGTTAGGCTAGGCATATAATAACTGCAAAGATAGTCTGCAATGAGAAACACCTCCTGGGATCAGCCTCCAGTCTCCCTTTCCTTACACTTACGTGCTACATGGCTGCTTTTCAGCAATGCCAGCTGTTATTAATAGATGCTGCTCAGACTTTCACATTTCCCTAGAGACCCTTTCATTGAAATTGCTAACTGCACTTCTGCAATGCCTTTTGTTACTGCACTGCATTGCAGAGCCAGAAAGAAACCTTTCAAGATAATTTTAATCAATAAAACAAAATAAATGAAGGTGTTGAGTTGCCTCTCTGCTAAGAATTGGAAATTTTACTAAATTCTACTGTAGGAAGAGACTATTAAAATTAATCCTTATATCATGTATTTTAAAAACACTAAGATATTATAAAATCTGAACTACCAGAGGGAATAATAATCAAGATGTAAAAAAATAAACCAAGATGTTTAAAGGGCAGCAACTCTGTTCTGTGCAAGAGTACTTGTAGCATAAATTATGAATTGGCTGTAAATTTCAGTGTGAAACTCTGAAGCAGTTCTGAAAATCTAGACAATTTTAGCTTTTATATGACTGTGTTAAGTTACTCTAGGGATGGAACATAAGTCAAAAATCAAAGAGGCAGAAAAATTGGCAGGCATCCCAAACATGCCTATGACTTATTGCCACTCATTCCACTGGTTTTGCAAAGTTGGCTAAGGAACCTAAAGTTATAAATTTAGAAAAGCTCTGAGTTTTTGATGGAAAATTTTAAGACTGAAAAGCATAAGAGTCATGGAGCAAAATTCGTCTTCCAGCCAGAACTGTATTTCTGTAAGGTTATCAGCTGAAACTGCTAGACCAATGGTAACTGTCTGAATTACCTGGAAATACCAAGCATCAGTGAAGATGAACAGGAGCAAATCATCCAGCTACATGAAGTCGACATTCGGTATATTTTTACTTGTATGAACATTCCTGAAATTTTCAGCTCAGTTGTGCATATTGTTTAGTGACTGTTAAAACACTGATTAAGAAATAATATCCTCAGTTAAAAAGAAGTAGAGCATTCACAACTCGTATTTAGTAGTGATTCAGGGAGAGTTGCAAATCAAATCCCAAAGCAATGTGCCTAAGAGGCTATGCCTCAGCTGAAAAACTCAACTCAAGCAAAATTCATAACTTAAAACACTGTAGCCTCCAGGGTATAGCTGAGTCATGTCTACATAGCTTAGACTGCAAGCAGGTGAGCTTATTTTGCTCTACATCTACCAATATATGAATATCCATTAAATTCTGTCCTATATAGCAGGTCTGACTGTAATGTCTTTAATAAAATATGAGAAAATCTTGCTAACTCAGACCTATTCATTCATAGTAAATGGCAAGCAGTCATTTTGATGAAAAGTATAATTCTTTTTTTTTAAATTATAAGGATCTGCACTTTTTTATTTAACTGTATATAAAATAAAAATAAAATAAAATAAAATAAACAAATACACCTAACAAAATCCATGTCTCACAACAACAGTATGATGTTAGCAATAAATGATTAGATAACCCTTTGGGGTTGTGCTATCTTAACTCTTGCAGTGGAACAAAGTTCTAGCTGAGGCTTCTTTAGGACCTTCTGTAGAGGGACCTGCTCAGAGCTTATCATTATTATGATCTGGCTCGATACAGCTGTTATGCTAAATAGACATTTGAATGTATCTCAGTGGATATGCTACTGAAGTGTTTTGATGGCTATTTCCCCCCAGAAGTTCAGCTAAGTCTCCCTTCTGAGTTGGCTCCACACAGTAAAATGCGGGTAAGGGTCAGGTCTGCAATTCATTATTTTCATTTTCTTTTTTTCTGAAGAAAATTCCACTTCTAGCAGAAGGGGTCAGCATGTCACCAGCCTTCAGATTCAGGCTTGCAGATTCTTTTAAAAAAATGGATCTCTTACTTGCTTATTTTTAAATCAGAGGCCAGCATTTTACATGTTTCTGAAAGCTCAGACCAGACTGCCTCTACCTTCATTCTCAGAAAAGTTCAGAAGGCTGTTCTCACAGCAGAAGAGAAATAAGCTTTCCAGATTTCTAGCACCAAATTCTATATTTAAAAAACGAACAAGCTAACAGAACACTCAGGTCATTAATTGCTGCAACTCATCCTAAAACATATGCAAAGTTCTCTTTGCAAGAAAACTTTACAGATTTTTAACTGTGCGCTGAGACTCTGAAGAGCAATGCAGATAAAATGAACATGTATGCCTCCTCATCAAATAGCTGCGCATTCACTTTGGTAAGCAGCAGTGTAGCTAGATGCCTTGGTACAATTTCACAGTACTCACTGCTGGATGGAGCAGTGGCTGCTTTGCACATGAAGGTGCTCAGGGAAACTAGGCACCCAGGTAGAGGCAAACTAACTCACTGGCACTGAAGGATATAAACTTTTTCTGTTAAAGAACAATCAGGTTTCAGGTTTGTAAGACTTCACAGAATCACAGTCTGATGGGACCTCTGGAGGTCATGTGGTGCAACCCCCTGCTCAATCAGGGCCACCTGAAGCCATGTGTCCAGATTTTCACATCATCACCTTGCATCTCTCACTGTGGTGCCAGCGACTGAAATATTTGTGTCAGAGTCATACAGAGACTCGTGTTCCCTAACACTTGGTGTAGCGAGATGCAGGAGGGTGGTCAAAAAGAAGAGTTAGAGTTCCTGCCAGGGCTTCATCCTGTCATGGCAGCAGTTACCCTTGCCTGCAAAATGCTGCCACTGTCACCTCACCAGCTCCATCTAAGTATCCGGTTGTACAACGTTAATGTATCTGAGAGTACACAGTAACCTGGGAAAAGCTGTTTTTAGTGTTTTGTATGATGATATTCTGGAATCATGAATCTGGAATGATGATTCTGGAATCAAATGAGAAACCTCTTCTGACTCCAAATATGCCATGAGGTGGTTTCTGATACTGGGTAATGTAACTTTATATCTGTATAGGGTCATAATTTTAATTTGTTTGAAAAGAAAATTATTTGATATTACTTGTACACAACTTCA